GGGACACTGTGCAGTGTGTCTTGTCCCATAACCCTGTGTCCCTTCATTGTTCAAGTTGATACCAAGACAGCTCGGGGATTCTGTAGATGCTTTTTGCTGAGCTTCTGTGGATGTTGATGAGCAGCTACTGAGTGGACAGAGTACAGATAGTAGCAGCCTCATTCACAGCAGCCACCCACTCCCATCCCCACATCCATCTGAAGCTTCCTCTCAGCCTGCCCTGATGTGCAGGGCGTTCCATGAACAGGGGTAGCATTTGTTTTCTTTCGTTTTGCTGTTGTGGTCTTGGGGATGAACTCAGGACTCGTGGGAAGCAAGTGCTCTATCACTGAGACTCATCCCCACCCATCACACGCCTGGATGGTGGAGTCACAGTGGTCTGAGTCTGAACCTGCTTCCCCTTGTGCTGTAGCTGTGAGTCCTGGCGGATTATCTCAGTCTCTTTGAGCCTCATTTTCCTTACTGTAACCAGGTGGATGTGGGACCCAGATGAGATCCTGCATTTATTCCTTCACCAGCGGGGATGGAACATGCCCTAAGTCTAAGAGTAGGGCAAGGATGGGAACAAAGGGATCTGGTCTCTGTTTACCTTTTCCTGTCATGTAACCTGTCCTGTGACATGCCGCTCACTCTGGTGACAGGTGCTCATTTTCTCCCACTGGGCAGACCCAGCTCCCACTCTCCTAGAGTTTCCTCCCCTCATGCCACATCTGATCTTCTCATGATTTTTTATTTTTATTTTGGGGACACCACAGAGTGCTTTGGTTCATCATCTCTGGGACAGTATTTGGCCCTATGATCTGCTCTGCAGGACACCGCCCAGATGCCCAGGTGCCGGTGTCTCAGGTCCAGCTTAGGCTCCTTGGGCAGGGCAGGCAGGTGTCCTGGCCTCAGCTCTACACAGAGCTTGCCCCTCTCAGGTCCATTTCTCAGAATGCAGTGAGGGAGGCACAGCAGGAAGGTCACCAGGCTCTGTGTCTGGGTGTCAGATTACCTGATGCTGTGATGGCACTGCCCTGTGTCCTTGGACTGTTTCCTCTCTCCTGCTGGGACTGAGTGGAATTCAGGGTGCATGCAGTGACAAAGCTTGCATCCAACAAGTTGGTCCTACACATAGATGGTACAATGAGACATGTTTATTTCCTAGCAAGAAGTTATAGAAATTTTGTATCCTTAAGCAAATAGTACTTTATTGTTAATAATGTTCTATTGAAGCAAAATATGTATGTCACATGAAAATTTGGAGTACAATTCAGTGCTAATAAGTACACTAAAATGCTGGAGCCATCAGCAGTATTTCCCAGTTACTGTGTTTTTATTAGTGCATGTGTGTGATCCGTACTGAATCTGTTCATTGTAAGGAGTGGTACGTGTACATGGCTCATCTTGGTGCTTTTCTTTTCCCCCCCTCTCCCTTCTCCGTACATCCCTAGATCCCCATCACATCAGCAAAATGTCTACTGCCCTGTTTATTTTTTTTATCACCTTTTATTTTGCTCTTTAAATTATTTGTATTTTCAGGTACTTTCTGAGTTGGTTATTTTGCGTAGCATATGGTCCCAAGGTGCATTGTTTTTTATACAAGTGGCTCAAATCTGTCCATCTTTTTGGCTCAGTAGTACGTTTTTATGTACTTACCTATTGGTGGACATGTAGGACACTTGCAAGATTTAGCTGTTGTGAGATGCACGGCTATGACCATGGACATAAATGTGTCACCGTGATACGGTATCTTTAACTCTTCTGTTGAGAACCCTGTGTGTGGTCAGGCTGGGTAAAATGGAATGCCTGATTGCAGTTTTTGAGGAATCTGCATACTCATTCCCTTCGTGGTTTCCTTGTTTACATCCCCACCAACACTGTAGAAGGGCACCTTTCCCCCCACAGCCTCATCAGTCTTTGTCATTTTTTGAGTTCTTGACGATATCCATTTTTTATGGAGAAAATGGGGTGTAAGTGTTGTTGATTTGGATTTCTCTAATGACCAGTGCTTGCATTTCTTAGAAGTGTTCATTTTGTTTTTTGGGTCTTCTGTTTTGGAGGATCTAATTTTTTGAGTCCTTGTTATATTCTAGATATTAGTCTCCTACCAGGGAGTAGCTGGAAATTTTCTTTTTTCATTTTGTGGGTAGTCACTTCGCTCTGTGACTTACTTCCTTTGCTGTGGAGAAATGTTTCCCTTGTTGGTGTCCTCTTGGTTCATTTTTGGTATTAATTTCTTGTATAACTGGGGTTCTATTCACAGAGTGTTTGCCTATGCCTGTTGAGTTCAAAATTTTAACTGTTTTATTTTCATGTAGATTCAATGTTTCTATTTTAATATCTAGCTCTTTGATCCATTTTGATTTAGTTTAGTACAGGGTTAGAGGTCTAGTCTAGACTTACTCTTCTGCAATGGAAAACCTGTTTTCCCAGTGTCATTTGTTAAAGAAGTTATTTTGCTCTGGTTGCAGGTGCTTTGGGCCCTTTTGTTAAAGATAGATGGCCCCTAATCCATGAGATTGATTCTGCTCTGTTCCCTTCATTTGTGTTTGTGCCAGTACCGTGCTGTTTTTAATGTCTGTAGCTTTGTAATATAACCTGAGATGTTGGATTGTGATGCTTCCTGCCTGAGTCGCATGTTGCCTGAAATTGCTTTTATTGCTTTGGATCCTTTCTTTTCATATAAATTTCAGGATTATTTCTTCTAGTGCTGTGGAAAATACAGTTGGTTTTTTGACTGATTGATGTATGCTATTTATCATTTTAATAATTGACTATTTTTACAATGTTGGTTCTGTCTGTCCAAGAATAAGTGCTATCTTCTCATTTTCTGCAGTTGCTTTTATTCAGGAAGCAGTAGTTTTCCCTGTAGAGATCTTTCACTTCCTGGGTTAGAAAGATTACTAAATATTTAATGTTTTGAAGGTCGTGAGAGTGGAATTGTTTTCTCTAAACTCTTCTTGATGGATTCACTGATGTTACACTGGAATAATATTAATTTTTATTTATTAGTTTGTATCCTACTACTTTAGTTATTCCCAGGACAATATTTATAATAGTTTTTATTTGTTTCTTTTATTTTTTCATACTTTTGATTGAGACCAGTGCTTCCTACATGCTGGCCTTGACTTGAAATCTTCATGACCTCAGCTTCCCTGGAAGCCAGGATTACGGCTCTGTATCCCTGGGGCCAGGCATTTTCCAAACTGTTTAATTGACTCCAGACCACAACTGTGTACCATTTCAGCTGTGACTTGCACTCCTCCTTCCTGTCCACCCGGGGCATCCTTTGATCCACCTCTGCCTCGGCCACACTGGTGCTTGTCTGATGCGTGGACTTCTGGCGGTTGAGCCCTGTTGCTGCCTGGCAGAGCTCCTTTCCATCACCCCAGAGCGACAGCCAGGACTTCGCCTACACCTCTGTGTTCACTCATTCGTGTGTGAAAGACATCGGGACACCTGCTCTTCTGCTAATAGTGAATAGCGATGCTGGGAACACACACGTGTGTCTGCCTCTGCTTTTTTCTGTGGGTGGCTCCATACTGGAAGTGGCATTACTGGGAAGTGGGTCTGTGATTTAACTCCTGAGGAACCATCGAGGTGTATCCCACTGTAGCTAAGTTTTCCATTCCCACCTCCTCAAAAATTTACTTTGAAAGTTGAAATGGCATTTTCTATATTTGCAAGGGAAAACACTAAGTATGGAGCTAATGGAAAGTGCAGGAAAACAGAAAAAAAAAAAAAAAAAAACACATTACCTGTAACTCTGCTGCCTAAACAGTCGCACCAGGGCTTCATTTTCTCTTCTTTCTGTTACTTTTCTATATGCTTTTTCTCTTGTGTGGTAGATAGAAAGCATTAAAGTGCCATTATGCTGTCAGATTGGTCCATCTAATAGTCTAACATCTAATATTCCATCATAAAAACTTATTTATAATATTTTGTAGTCTACCTCTGTTGAGTAACCATCCCCTAGTGTTGGTTAAACCAGGATGTAGACCCTATGGCACAATGGCAGAGCTTGCTTCTACTCACCGGGTGGCATTCCCATGGGGTCTCCCATGCCCGTCTCCCAGGCCACTCTCCAGTGCCCCAGTCCCCATGAGCAGATGTTTGGCCACCTTCCTCTCTAGGTCCCCAAGAGCTGCAAGAGCTCCTGCCTGCAGGGCACTGAGCACAGAGAAGCCACACTGCTTGGGGTGCCTGGAGAGCTGGATGAACAGTCCTCTTTTGTTAAAACAGAAGTCCAGGGTCACTGCTGGGAAGGACACATTGTCCCCAGAGGCCCTGGGCTATCTCCTCATGTCCACTTTGGGCAGTACAGTTCCCTGGGCATGGGATGAGCATCAAGCTCTGGTGAGCCCTAAGCCGTGCTCCCTTGGGGGTGGCACTGAGTGTGTCATGGATTTTCCCGGGAAGGTGACCCCGGTTGGATCAGCCTCTTCCTGCTGGCTGCTTGCTCCTCTTGGTGATTTGAGCAACTATTTCTAAGATGATAATATGTAATCTATTAACTGGTGATTTCTTACTGTCTTTTTTTTTTTTTTTTTTTTTTTTTTGTAGTTCTGTATTACGTGTACCCTTACACCGCTTTGTTTTGTTTTGTGTTTTTCTCTTTTTCCTTTTAAATAAAATTAAAAAAAAAAAAAACACTTGTGGTGACTGGAGGCCATGGCAGGTGGCCATGCCTTCCCTCCCACTTTCTACCAGCAACAGCACTGGCCACTTCCTGAACAGGGAGGGTGGCGAGCACTGGGCTGGAAAAGCCTTCACAGTTGCAGTGTGTGGCAGAGCTGCCCTGGGCCTGTCAGAATGTCCCCTGCCCTCTGTGCAGGGTCTGTGTGACTCTGCGGGACAGAGAGTCCCAGGAGTCTGGGGCCTGGCTCTGGGGCTGCCGGCCTAGACTGCGGGCTGCAGCTAGAGTATGCGCTGCACCCGGGCTGAGCTGGTCTGGGCAGAAGTGGGGTGCGACTGTGTCCCTGTCCTTCTAACAGACCTTGGTCTTGTCTCCATGGCAGAGCTCCTGTACCTGTGGACTATGACAAAATTCTGTGCCGTGTCACCTTCCACAGGAACAACTGCAGCTATTCTGTTACGGAGTACCGGGACCCAGGAAAGGCCTGTGTTGTTCGTAAGTGGGTATTATAAGTTCCTCCTGCAGGCCTAGAGCTCCCAGGATAGCAACCCTCATGCTGTAGCCTCTGATACTCTGTGACTTCGTAATCATACACAGCAATAAAATTCTTTCTTGAGCAAATACTTTTCTTGAGCAAACACTTGTGTTCTTGTAATTTGTCAATTATGTTGGCTATGATTGGACCCGTGTTACAAAGCACACATTTATTTAACGAGACAAAATCAATTTAAATGAAATTTAAGCCACATTTCCCGCACTGTGCTGGTGATCTGCATCCCTCTCCTGTGGACCGCAAGCGCCTCTGTGCTTCTCACACATCAGTCTTCGCTCCTGTGTCTTGCAATGTGGTGACAAAGGAACAGCAAGTGAGGCTCCTGGATGGAACCCAATACACAGTGTCAGAACCAGACTAAGAAGCCAAAGAACATACAAAATGGAAAAGAATTGTGTTAAGTCAAAGTACATTTTTAGATAAATTGTACCCAATCAATTCCAATATGTAATTTTTTTCTCTCTTTTCCTGTCATGTGATTTTTTTTCATAATTATATGCATAAAGCTTTTTCATATAAAAGAAACCATGTGACATTTACGATTGTGTATCTGAGTTATTTCACTGAACATTAATTTTAGAGGACATACAGCTGGGTGATACATCATAAGTTCCCACTTGATTTCTGTAGCAATGGACCTGAAGTGTGTTTTATTGTGGCAGTGGTCTATGCTCTTTTGCAAAAGCTACAAGGGCTGGAGGTTTAGCTCAGCGGCATAAGCGCCTGCCTTGCAAGCAGGCAGTTGTGAGTTCGATCCCTGGTACTGATAAAAAGGAAAAAGACAAGAAAAAAAAAAAAGCTACAGGCTGCTTTTGCTGAAATCACTGACTCTATACTTGAGCCTAGAAAAATATAAAGGGTGATTAAAATGAGTCAGAAGACTTGGTGTCCTGTCTTCATGTTGTGTCTGCACTCTGCTGGGTTAGCCTCTGAGTAAGGTTCTGTCAGCTCTGTAAAGAGAGGTGCTGACACTATTTGTTTTATTTTGTGACTAATATAAAGATGATACGAACTCTGCCTGATCAAGCCAGTATGTGCCCTCTATTCCTCTTTTTTCTTTTGAGTCCACTCTAGTGGTCTCTCAACAGCTAGAGCAGCCTAAGAATCTAAAAGTCCTTCAACCGTATCCTAAGATGCAGAACAGAGCACCAGGTCAGGATATGTGCAGGTTGGTCAAAGCAGCTACCATAGTAACTCAGTCGTTCCCAGAAGTGGTCCATGAGTGTAAGAAGTATCTTTTGGGTCACTGTTCCTGGCCAGTGAAGATTGCTGAACTTTAGCAGCAAATCCATGAAAGCTCAGTGCTTTCCTTTTTCTGTGTGGGTCTTGGCCCTTCATCAGTGCTCACACCTTTAGGCTGAAGTCTCAATATAGGCAGAGCCCTGCCCCCCAGTAAAGCCATGTGTGCAAGACTGCTTGTCCTTGATGTGGGCTCCTGACTCCTTTTCTTGGGTCAAAATGTCTTAAGGTCTGGAATCAGGGAAGAGAGGGGAGCTGGTAAGGTTATTTTATTGGACATGAGTTTCATTTAGCTGGGAGTGTTTGGGTTTGGTGTGTTATACCATAGCAGGTTGATGGATCACAGCAATAATCCACTGTAATTTCCAGAGGGTAGAAGAAAGAATATGGAAAATGTTTGCCAGAAAGAAATGATAAATGTTTGAGGAGTCTAAGAAACAAAATGGAATTACCATTGCCCTCATATTTCCCCGTCAAGGGCATGTTTTCTTTCTAGGACATAACCACCTCCATATTTGATGGTTCATAATTGGGCAGACATACAGTGGTCTCAGTGAACATTGTCTTTTGTACCTGATTTACACTACTTTGGATCCTGTTTTTTATCCAATGGATTAAGCATGGTCCAAAAGTGAGAACCAACATTAAGACATTATTGGGACCATGAGTCCAATGATCTTTGAGCCAGCCCCAGATTTCAACTGAGCAACTGTTTATATCACTTTTAGTTGTTTCAATTATCCTTTTCTTGGTTCTTGGCCCACTGGTCCAATTTATCTAAAGTTTTTGTTATGACTCCAGAGCTGTCTGCATAAAAGCAACATTTTCCCCGCAAAGGTCACACAGAGCTATCCTTGTTCCATAAAATGTAGATTGAGCCCTCTTCAATTTTGTAAAACTACTTCTGCCGAAGAACGTATTTGATTATGTAGTTGCCTGATTATATTTCGTACTCCTGTCACATCCTGTTTTATGTTTTTGTGAATCTAGTAAGTCTTTGGAGACCCACCTCTGAGTGGACTAATGCTCCATTTCCTAATCGGATGTACCCTGGTATGCTTAGCCCCACCAGCACTGAGATCACAGCAGCTCATCAGAATCATGTCTGGTGTCTTGGGAACAAGTATTGGCACTGAGGACCCCCCTTAAAGGCTTTTACCCATGGTGTTAGCATTGTCAGGAGGTAGGGACTCTTACACGTACGTTTTGTATGTGGTCCAAGCACTTAAGCCATTCGTACAGAAAAACACAGTTCCATTTAGTGTCCTGTAAGTTGAATCTGGTGATACAATTTGGTTACCTGTAACTTGTCCTTGTTCCACACAAAACCCTCATCCATAAACAGTTTCTACCATAAGCAGAAGTAGTACACCCTCTTCCCCTAGAGTGCAGATCATCTGACTAGGGGTAGTCCTCGTTGGGGAGCCACTGCCTCATCGAATGTTGGATTTGGCCTTAGACACATCCCACAACTCTTAGCTGTGTTAAAGTCTGATAAATTAAGGAGGTGATGGGTCTCAATAAGAATCTTGTGAGGTTATCTTGGCCACATCATGCTGAATATTTTGAGGATGAAACTTTTTTTTTCTTGAGCAATGCAGAAACTTTTGGTCTAGAGCAGTACACATGATGTAATTCATAGGAGAGTACAGGAAAAGGGATGACTGGCTTTCCTGGAGTTACTTTTATTCTGAATATGTAGATGAGAATCCCTTGGGCTGTTCCTTCTGTTTTTGGTTGTACACGCAGATACCCCAAATGAGTCTTGGGGCCCAAGCAGGATCATTGATATTTTTGATGATTATCTTAATCTGCATGTGGAAGTTATCTGAGTCCCCAGTTTTGAAATCAACCTGTTTTTCTCTATATACCTGAATATATTTATCATTTTGGGTCTGTCAATGTAATTCAAGCACTAGATCACAGGTTCTGACATTCAGGTCCTCTCCAACATACCAGCCACTCCACAGTCCTATTGTCTGAGAAACCCAGTGCAGAGAGTATGTCTTCCTTTTTTTTTTTTTTTTAAAGAGTTACTATTTATATATCCTAATTTTTTAAATTTTTTCTTTAATTAAGACAAACATAAGAAATGACTAAATAATTTTTTTAAAAGAATAAGGGGGAGATTGAGATAAAACAGGACATAACAATATAACAATAGAGGTCAAAGCATGACTGTTTCAGCAGCCTAGTACTTTACCACTATATAACCCGACTTAATAGTAGTTACCATAGTGTCTGTCTTTTTCCTTGAAATATTTGGATAAAACTTCATATACTCTAGCTTCAAATATTTCCATATCAAGAAGCCCAGAATAAAGCCTTTCTAATTAATGAGTTCCTTTTACGATGACAATTCCCCCTCCCACCTGGGGGCACACACATAGCCCAAAGGACACTGTGTCTGTGTTGCCACTGTTTTACTTGATTTCTTTATTCTCTATCTCACATTCAGGAAATGGGTGGCTTTTATCTTTTATCTGTCACCAGTCACGGTTCCAAAAGTGACACACGGGGATAACAACAACGGTGTCAGAAGGGATACACCATAAGCTAGCTCAGCCCACTTAATTTCAGCAGAGTTTTGTCATGAGTGTTTAACCGCTTATGCTCAAAGGTGTTCCTTGAGTTAATAAGGACAGACCGTCGTTATCTGTGAGCTGGTCCTTCCCAGGGATGACAGCAGGAGATGCAGCAGGAGGGCTGGGGCCAGGAGAGCAGCGGGAGTCACAGGGTGGGGTATGCACACATAGTGTGCACACATAGTGTGCCTGCAGCCAGATTCTGTTGCAGTCTTTGAGAGTACTGGTGCAAGCGAGCCTACATGAAGGCGGTGATGTCATTGGCTCTTGGAGGGTCCACTTTTTTACTCTGAAGTGATGAATCCATGGTGCACAACCTGATAATTTTAAAGCGCTGGGCATGCTTAAAACAACAACCACTTGAGGCCCTCCCACCTTGTTTATAGGGGGCCCCTCTTTTTAGAATTCAATAAAAATTTTATCTCCTGGCTTAAAGAATGGACTGGAAGGGCCGGGGTTTAGCTCAGCCGCATAAGTGCCTGCTTGGCAAACATGAGGTCATGCGTTCAATCCCTGGTACAAAAAAAAAAAAAAAAAAAAGAAAGGACTGATGAACGAATTGGAATAGGGTGAGCCTGTATCACAGTTTGATGGAGGTCCTTTATTGTCCAACCCACTGCCTTCATCTGTTGGCACAAGTCCAATGCTCCAGTTTCCTGGAATCCTAATGCAGGCACCAGAGGGGGAAGCCTCCCAGACTAACTCAAAAGGTGTCAGTTCATCCCAGTTCAGGTGCACTGTGATTGGAGAAGTGTCGCAGGAATCAACATGACCGATGAACTCCTGTTTCTTGGCAAAGCTTTGCCAAGGTAGTTTTTAAGGTTCAGTTTTGTCTCTCCACTTTGCGGAGTTCTGAGGTTAGTGGGCCATGTGTAGATTTCATTTAAGTGATAGCTCCTCTGAGAGACTTTTGACTACTTCTGCCCACAAAAGCAAGTCTACTATCTGAACCTATCATTATGGGGAGCTCATGTCAGGACATAAACTACTCTATTAGGGGGCTTCAACTGCTTGTCCTAGTTGGGAGTGTCTCTACCCATCAGAGTAGGTGGAGGTTACTACCAGCAAATACTGCTTTCCCCACTAATCGGTTTAATTTCAGTGAAGTCTACCACCGCATGTTCAATGGCAAAGTCCATCGCCTCCTGACACCTGGTGGTTGCTGGGGCCATGAGACTGGATTGTTGTGGCCAAGGGCTACACATCTTTCAGTCACTAACACATAAAGTCCAAAGTCTCCGCATGAAGAAATAACGGCCAAGCAGGTGGGTCATAGCTATTTTTACCAAATGCATGTGCCTGTGTAAGCCCCGAATCACGTAAAGTCCCAAGGTCTCAAGGAATAAAACTTTTCCCCCTGCAAAACTTGCCCTCCATTCTCCCCAGTGGCCCTTCTGCATAGCCCATAACAACTTCCCCATGGATTTGGGTGACTTGAGCACTGGGGCTAGCAGGGCATGAACCACAGGAGACTATGCCAAGAATGGCTTCCTTAGTGGTCAGATCAGCCACACAAATTTCTTGGGCCTGTGTTGCCTCATTGTTTGCTGTTCTGTGGAATACATTACTGCTACTTTGGCAGATAACCAGGCATCCTGTAACAGGTTTAGTATTTCCTGAGAGGTTTGATGTCTTTTTCTCTTGTTTTCAGGAGGCCCCCTCCCTGTATATGGTATCATGCACTGTAATGTTGCAAAGGTGTAATGAGAATCAGT